AATTAAGGCTTTAGGTTGCTGAAATTAATCAGTAAAACAATCTTGGCATGTTCAGGCTGAGGTCCCTGTGATTTCAGGAAAATCTGAATAATTGTGGAGTCAGATAAGCAACAAAGGCTAAATGGGTATCTCAGAAACATATTGACCATTTTAATAGGCTTCTATTAACTGAAGAGCCTTGTGTATCAAAACTTTGAACAACAGTTCTTTAGATCACTCTCATTTGCAATTCGTGTTATCTGTTATCTGGCATCTAAGGAGCCAAACAGGTATCTTAGCTAATTTCCTCCTTCCAGCTTAATTTAGTTTTCTTTTTCAGTATATTTAGAAAATTCAGGAGTTAGCTGTAATTATACAATTACAGGTTTTGATCCTTTCCATGCATAAATTCCACAACCCCTAAGATTCATCTGGGCTTCCATTCCTGAAGCAGAATGTCAGCTTTCCATTCACTGCAAGTTACTCACATACTAATAATAAATTAGAATCTAATCCTTCCACAATATTGCTTTTTATCAAATTGCACTTTTGTATATTTCCACATGAGTGTGGTTATAGACAACTATCATTGGTGCTCAGCATCTAAAGGAAAACTATGATCCGCTGAAAGTTATTAGCAGGCAGGAGAATGCTGCATTGAAATGTTCATTCTGAAAAACTCTGCTGCTTGAAGAATTTGTGGATAAAACAGAAAAAATGCCTGTAGCAGCTGTTGTTTATAGACAAGCATTTGAAAAGCACATGTATCAATATGCCCATGTATTAACATTCCTTCTGAAAAACTGCCATTTCCATAATTTATAATGGATGTTACATGTGTCAGACCTTTGAAATAGTCCAAACAAGAAGCACAAAATTCTCCTACCTTTATTGTATGTTTACAGTCACAGAATATTGCAAGTCTGAAAGTATTTTCACCTCCTGTATTTTTACTTTCAAGAAAGGTAAGGAGACTGCCTTATGAGACACGTATGCAGCGTCTTTGCTTCTGTGCACCGAGATAGCTTTTTGCCTAATGGTTATCTACTCTGTGGCTTTTCCTCCTGACTCCCAAGATAATTCCAACATTGTATTATAAACCTAGTTGTGAAATGAATCATGCAGTCATTAAACCAGTGGTTCTCAACCTTTCTAATGCCGTGACCCCATAATACAGTTCCCTATGTTGTGGTGACCCCCAGGGGTGTGGCCAAGTGGGTGTGGCCACCAAGTGGGCGTGGCCACCATGTTGTGGTGACCCCCAACCATAAAATTATTTTAGTTTCTATTTCATAACTGTAATTTTGCTACTGTTCTGAATCGCAATGTAAATAATTATTTGGATGTGATTTGAAGTTTGTGTAATGAATTGAAATGAAGTAAGGTTTAACATTGTTTCTTTTTTTAACTAAGTTAGTTATTATTGGAAGAAGATATAAATGAGACTGGTGATTAAAAGAGGGATGAGAGAGATTAAGAACTTGAACGTATCTGGAAGAGATAATTGAAGTGATAATCTGTTGAAGTAAAACAATATTTGATTATGGAAACTGTAAATTGATAAAGTCTTAAAACAGGTTTAGTAGTAACAGAAACTTAAACTAGAAATGGAATACCGTATATTCCAGCGTGTAAGACGACCCCCAACTTTTGAGAAGATTTTCAGGGTTTAGGATTCTAAACCCTGAAAATCTTCTCAAAAGTTGGGGGTCGTCTTATAGGCCGGAAAATACGGTATTTCCTAGTTTGATGTTACCTAGTTTGGTAGTGAAACATCTGCAAAAAAACACAGAGATCACCAAACCACAAACCAGAAGTCATAGGCAGCACATTGCAGAAGTTACCAAAACTGTATCAAAGATCTGTATCTCCAGATCACCAGTTGATAGCATCAGTTGAGGCAAATTCTAATCCACACATCAAGAGGGCATCCAGGTGAAGAGATTCATTCAGGAGGAAAGGAAAGCAGACTGACGCTATTTGACTGCACAATCAGCTCAGCTAGTTGACTGGCTCCCTCCCAACCCCTTATTGATCTCAGACACTGATTCTGGGCCAAACACAAGGCAAGCAAAATGCCGTCAACATACTGATGCCACCTCTTTCCAAAGTCCAAGCTGATTTCTTTGAGCATTTGTTTGTACTTGGAAAAAAGCAGAGTAGAGGAATATTTTTTAAGTGGATCTGAGTCAGTGGGAGACAATGGAAGGTTGAAGGACCAATTCTGGGTATCTGCAGCTCTGTATCTGGTGGACATGGCCACCCCCAAATGACACAGGTTGTAATTAGAAAAAAAAAACATTTCTCTGGATGTTTCTAGGAAAACTACAAAGGTGACTGGAATTACTTTTAAAATAGTCAAAAGAGTCTCAACTTAAGCCAAGATTTACTGATGAAAAAGTTGTCAAGTGTAAACCATGCACCACAAACTTCTTTTGGAAGAGAACAAAGTCAAAAAAAGAAAGCCCTTTAAAACAAGCCTTCAGACCAGAAAGGATTTTATCACTATGCTTAAAAAATAAAAATCCATTAGTAATACTATATCACTGCTGCTTGCAAAGGGCTCCCCTTTATGCCGAACCAGGCACCTGATGAACTCTGGCAAGACCAATCAATTGTGTGTAAACATCTTGAAGGCTTTGGGATATTGAAAGGGGTGATTTAAAAACCACACCAAGCCTCTGTATCAAGGGCCAGTTTTCCCACCATGAGGCAAACGCTTCTTACCACCCACCTAGAAGAAGCCCACCAGTAGCAATTTCCAAAATGCCCAGTGTGCCGGCTATGCATTCTGCCAGGAGCCTAAAGATCGGAGTTTAAGAAAACCCACATGATAGATGAGCTCTCCCATGTGGACATCCCAGCTTGCAAATCATCCACGCTGTTCAACCCAAAACCAATGGGCCATGCCCCCTCTCAACTTCTGAAGGCAGCAACACCCTCCTCTGCCACCCAGAACCCAAGCTCTTTCCCAGGGAGACCAAAGTCTGCTTAACCAGCTGCAGGAGCAGAGCACACCCAGTGTCCTCAGCTGCCCCTCCAGCCTACTTTGCCGGCTTGCCCTTTGCAAACCAGGCGCTCCAGGTCCTACAGGTGATACCTCCTGGTAACAAGGGGGGACCTTAATTTCTCCAGATGCCACAATCTGTGGGCGGTCGGCTACAAGGAGCAGAGCACGAACAGCGCTGAATGGAGAGAAGCGAGCGGGGAGTGGAGCGCGCGAAGGAGATGTGACCAGGGCAGCAGGTGGAGGGAGGGTCGGCTCCAGAGGCGAGGGTGGCGCTCAGAAGTGAGGGAGGGGGTGGTGGCGAGACAAGCCTGAAACAGAAGTCTGGAGAGCGCAGCAGGCGGTGAGGGGAGAGGCCGGAACAAAGAGAGAAGTGGCTGGGAAGCCGGAGAAGCAGGGAAGATGTGGGGATTTCTACAATACGATGCAAAAAAAACCCCCCAAAAAAACAAATAAACCCTTGCCTTGGCACGTTGGTGTGCCTTTGCCCTTCCGACCCTAGGAGAAGTTGCCTTGCAAACTTGTTTGCGGTCGGTTTCTCAGTTTGGAAGATTGCGTGCACGTGCAGCTATTCTTTGTCTTGCCATCCCCACTTTGGAGCAAATTGTGGCCTATTGTCAAGCAGCGATACCTGTGACAGAACACGCACCATGCAGTACAAAAATGGTATGTTTTTTGTCCACTTTATTGGATAAGAGGGGGAAGCCATTTTCTGGTGGGATGTTCGCAGAGTGCGCGCTTGTTGCACATGCCTTGTTTCTTGCATGATTGGTTGCTGCATTTTGCTGCACGGAACTCTTGTTCCGCAAAGCTTGCATGGAGAACAGTGGCTACTTCCTTTGCAGCCAGCCAGGCTAAAAAACCTGGGAGTCCCACCATTTTTCTGCAAGCAACGGACAAAATCCTTCTCACCTGGCACCTACAAATTCGGGACACATTTAGCACAATGGGAAATAGTGAGAAATTGACGCACAAAAGTAATTTGGGGCTGATGTTGCTTTGTGATCCTTGACGCTTAGAGAGATAAGTAAGCAAGGATTTTTAATTCATTTGTTTAACAAAACGAACTACAAACTTAAGCTCCACTGAAATAATTAGAGAGTACCTGTATACGCCGGAAAATACGGTATATATATTCCTCTGCCAAGCAAAGGAAGCTCAGCGGCAGGCCAGAGAGGAAACTTACCACTTTTGGTTGTTTTCTCTCTTGCTTTCTGCTGCTTGTTCTCTCTCGCTTTCTGCCGCTTGTCCTCTGTATCGCTTTCCGCCATGTGCTCCAAAACCGAAACTTCGTAACTTTATATAGAAAAAAGCTGTGCATGTGCAAAGAGGAGGGAAGCAGGAACGGCACTTTCGAAAGCCAATAAGAGGGAGTAGGACAGCTAGGGAAAAGGGAAAAAATGGCAGACAGCGTGGTTTGGCAACCCACGTGAAATGGTCGATCGACCCCAAATGGGGTCGCGACCCATAGGTTGAGAACCGCTGTATTAAACAAAACTGGCTTCCCCAATTGACGTTGCTTATTAGAAACTGGCTGGGAAGGTTGCAAATTACAATCAAATGACCATAACCATAAGTCACTGCAACTATCAGAAATGTGAGCCAGTTGTCAGAGCCCAAATTGTGATCACGTGACTGTAGAGGTGATATGATGATTGTAACTTTAAGGATGGGTCATAAGTTACCATTTCTGAGGCCATCGTAATTGTTCAATAAACAATTGTATGTCAAGGACTACTTGTATTCAATGGGGAGCACACTTAGTCTTTTCATTCAGTTTAGAATCTTTTATTGCCCAGAAAGTTTACTGAAGTAGACATGCTTCATGCTGGATCTTTGCCATCCAGTACATTAAAGACAATGAGATGAGAATGGAGGAAATGTTATGGAGGAAAAGACAAAATGCTTCCTCATCATCCCCCTATTGTGAATATAATTACGTGATGAATTTCATTAATGCATTCTGTAAGTCTAAGCACTGACAAATCCTCAAAAATATAAGGTAAGAGAAATATTTATTTAAATTTTGCACAAGGAGTATATAATGGACAAATTCAATCAAGGAGTAAGTGCAATCAAATGAGGATATACAGATGATTTTTTCATAAGAAAACATTATGCAATCGTGCATTGTTTTACAGTTATTGGATTTTTTTCACAGCGGTAGATACATTGCAAAAAATTTCTGTATTTCCAAATGACATCCTTTTATATAACTTTGGGGATTCTTGCAGTTACCAATTAAACAAATGGATATAGACAAGTGGAGTTATATTAAAAAATATATTTTGGACATAGATGAAGTGCAATTTCAAAACTCTAGTAAGCATTTCCCTGCTTGAGGATTTTGACATCTTCATTTGCATGTCATTTTTTTCAGTAGTCCAGAATCTTACATAATGATGTCAAAAACATGAACCAAAACTTGAATCTCACATCAAAACATAGGTTTATACATCTGAACTTGTTCCTAGTCATATACATTTCATTCAGACTAAGGAACTAGACATCTTATTCAATTCATAGCATTTCTGTAATTGTATCAAATTAATCTTGGTCCAGGTCTGGCTTATTAATTTCTGATTTTTAAGTCCTTATTCTTTAACATAAATTGTCCAGGATTATCCTACTGTTTTCACAGTTTCTGCAGACACTGTGGATCTACAGAGCAGCAAATATGCCCATTCTAGAAAAAAGATAAAAAAGTGATTTATTATACAGCAGTTTTTTTAAAGTAAGCATATATCCCTAGAAACATTGAAATGGAGGGGGGGGGGAATCATCCATTAGCACTTGTTGTTCAATTGTCCTGCATACACTTTTGTTTGATGTTCTAGTTAGATTAATCCAGCAATTTTCATTTACCATCCTTTAATGACTAACATCAGTTAAAATGAATACTTGAATCCCTTTTTTACATTTAATTATTTGATACCTATGCACAGTAAATTATACTCATGATCCCTATATTAATATTCCTTTAGAAACAGAGCATGCCACTGTGAGAGATGAAAATATAGCCCCCTTCTCATATAATAAGATAGGGCTAGAACAAACCTGAAATAGGCCCCACAGAAGTGATTTGAAGCTTTAACTTGAACTTTATGCTGTTTCTCAATAAGGACGCACTATTGTACTCTGCTGAGCTTTGTGCAATATGAAATTGCAAAGTAGGTAGTTCTGTGTATATTTGGAACATGAGTATTGTAATCATGGGAAAAGAGGAACTGAAATTAGCTGTTGGATGTGGGTTCCAATGTTACATGGATATATGTGAAAAGTTATGTTCAGCAAAAGTCAGCAGAAGTCAGCAAAAGTCAGCAGACCATCTGACTACAGTCTTAGAACGAGAAAGGATATAAAAGGTTGGGACTGGGTTCCAGAAAAACAAAAATGTGTTCACAATGAGAGACGGGTTGCCTTGGGTAGGGGAAAAGTTATATATACCAACAACTCAAAGAGTCACTTTCATGCACCTTTGCCATGACACAAAATCAGCAGGGCATTTTGGATTTGTAAAAACTTTACATTTAATTAAACGGCAATTTTGGTGGCCATCCATGAAAAAGGACATAGAAAGTTATATTGCCAGCTGCCCAACATGTGCATCTGCAAAGAGGTTGCAAGGGAAATCGCCAGGGCTATTACAACCAGTGGCAAATCCCTCAGCCCCCTGGAGGGAAATAGCCATGGATTTTATAGTGGAATTGCCAGAAAGCAATGGGAATACTGTTATCTGGACAGTCACGGACTTGTTTTCCAAACAGGTGCACTTTATCCCTTGACAAAACATTCCCACTGCAAAGGCCTTAGCAAAACTTTTCATCCAGCACATTTACAGATTGCACGGGGCACCCCAATGCATCATCTCTGATAGGGGAGTGCAATTTACGTCTGCATTTTGGAAGGAATTTTTATCCCTCTTAGGGACCACTCAGGGACTGACATCTAGCCATCACCCTCAGACAGATGGACAAACGGAACTGTGTCATTCAGTACTTGAGCAATATTTGAGATGTTTTTTAAATTTCCAACAGAGTGATTGGACGGACTTACTCCCTTTTGCAGAAGTTGCCTACAATGCAGTCCACTCCAGCACAGGCTACACTCCTTTTCAAATAGCCAACGGTCAAAGTTTCAGCCCCATGCCAGAATTAACCCCAAACGAACCAATGATCCCATCATTGAAAGAATGGATGGAAAAACTACAAAACACCTGGCCAATAGTTAGAAAAGCACTAGATGAAGCTAGGCAGGCATACAAAGCACAAGCCGATAAAAAAAGGGTTGAGCCTACACCATTTATTATAGGTGAAATGGTGTACCTATCTACAAAATACCTAAAGTCTTTACAACCCTGTAAAAAACTTGGACCAAAATATATAGGGCCTTTTCCAATTAAAAGAATCATAAACCCAGTAACAGTAGAATTAGAATTACCAAAAAATCTCAGGCAATTTTTCATTGCAGCTTGCTGAAAAGAGAGCATCAGTCACCTCTACGGCCAAAAATCCCCCCCCCACCACCTCCAATCATGGTGCAGGGCGAACAACACTTCGAAATAAAGGAAATCCTTGACTCTAGGAGATATCATGGAGCAGCTCAGTACCTAGTTGCCTGGAAACACCTCCCTCCCTCACAAAACGAGTGGGTCAATAAACGTCATGTCACAGCCCCAAAGCTATTGAAGACGTTTCACACAGAGTATCCTAACAAGCCTGACTAACTTTTATACCTGTTTTGTTTTCTTTCAGGTGGATCTCTCTTATTTTTAAGGGGGGCCGGATGTCAGAATCCAATTATACTTCATCTCCAGTTATCAAATATAGAAAACCCCAATTCTGCCTTCTCTGGATTCTGCCATAAGAGGGAAAGAAGGTGGAGAACAAAGGGGCTTTATGGCCCTCACTTCCTTCAGTATACTTCTAAGGAACTGAATGTGTGTATTGCAAAAGAACTAACCATAAGAATGGGGCCGTTTTCCTTTCATGTAGTTTCTTTGAAGTCTCCATCCAGCTGAGCAGTAATGAAAAGGGGGGTGGGAGTGTAATGCCTGAGACTGTCGCTGAAAGAGGGGGTTGATTGGGTGGGGCTACTGGGGAAACCCTTAAAACCTTGAATTGGAGAGCTTGGACCCCAAGTCCTGTCTAGCACGCCTGCAACCACCTTTTCTTAATAAAGGATTCCTGTTGGAAGAATTATTCCAAGAGTTCTGTCTTCTTAAGATGCAAAGTGGGGTGGGTCCTTACAGAGTGACTGCAAAGTTGAATCCTTTGGAAAGGACGTTGGTTTCGGCTTTAGTGAGGATCCTATCTGAGATGATATGCACTGTTTGTTTCATGTGTGGCTGTGAGGGAGGAGGGGTTTGTTTCTGGCATTCTTGTAGTCTTCGGAGTTTGTTGATGTGTGTGTCTGTCTTGAGGGTGGTCTGTGTTTCGGTTCTCCAGACGGCGAGTTGTTTGGATTTGTCCCAAAGTGCGGGGTGGATCTTGTTGCTGAGTTTGAGGTGAAGTGTGAGGAGATCTTTGTTGATTCAGTTTAGGAGGAATCTTTTTGTGCGAAGTTCATCTCTGATTAGGGCCAATTCTGTTCTTTTCAGGATGCGTTTGGTGGCTGCAGAGTTGGAGTGGAATTTCAGTTGGAAACATATGGGGATTAAATTTTGATCTTGGCAGTTGCGTAGGAAAGCGATGTCACATAAAATGGAAGCTCTTTGAACTTCGAGTTTTTCATAGGTCCTGGTCAGATGGTGGATATCCTCCCCGTAGAGATGCAATATTTGTTTTCTGAGGTGTTTCTGAAAGCACCAGCCTGAAGATGACGAATGAGACTTCGTCGAAACGTCGCCAAGACACTTCCAATTTGACGTGGGAGAAAACCCGAATAACCAAAGACATATATATATGTGTGTGTGTCTGTGTATGTATGTAGGTCTTTGGTTATTCGTGTTTTCTCCCACGTCAAATTGGAAGTGTCTTGGCGACGTTTTGACAAAGTCCCATTTGTCAGGCTGGTGTTTTCGGCTTTGTGTTTCTAGGAACACCAGCCTGAAGATGACGAATGGGTCTTCATCAAAACGTCGCCAAGACACTTCCAATTTGATGTGGGAGAAAATGTATATGTATATATATATGTATATATGTATATATGTGTGTGTGTGTGTATATATATATATATATATATATATATATATATATATATATACACACACACACACACACACACACACACACACACACACACACACACATATATATATATATTATAAAATTTGGATTGCTAACAAAGAATTAAGGGAGAATGGGATAGCTATTTCAAGTTTCTTAACTCTCTTCAGCCAAACTTACCTTTCTGAGATTCGAGCCTGGGCTGTGTGCATGTTATTATATATATAATAAAAATAAATAGTATACAATCACCAGGAGAATTTAAGTATAAAAAATACTTTACTAAAACCACCAAGCTTTCGTTGGGAACTCCCAACATCATCAGGGCTAAAAGCCAGTTAACAAGGATGACTTAAATAGGTTTGGCTGACATTTGCACCCGGTCCTGGACCGTGTCACCGGCCCTGGCTGGTCAATTTGTATTCCAGATGTTTCTTTGTTACTCCCATTGCGTTTCCTTCTATCATTCTTCCAGATCACCCCACCTACTGTTTCATTGCTAATACTCAAATTTGTTAACACCCTTTTGTCCTCCTTCCTTCTGATGGTATTAACTCCCACTTCATCCATCTTTCTGCTACTTATTTCGGGGGTATCTGATTCTCTTCTAACACTGCCATCAATCCCACTGGGGCTCCAGTTGTTTTTTCGCACCCCCTTTAACTGTGGATCGATGTTTTCCCTCTGTTCTATACTCTTTTTTTCTCTCCTCCTTACTCCTATGGGTAGTGTTTATGCAGACGTTGTATACTTGGGCACCCATACTCCCATCCCCCACCCTGGCGTTCCCTATGTCCACCGTCTTATGCTGTTCTATCTGTTGGTAACCACTGTCCCTACCCAAGACAGTTTTTAAACACTTGTTATGGGGGGGGTGTAGCTGCTGGTGGAAATGGCCTTCATCTATGGCTGTTCGTCCATTCACAGGACGGGGTAGAAGGGTACTTCCCCCCTTCTTACTGTGCAAGTGTTCATTCCACCTTTCTCCCCTCCTTCTCCCCCCTCCATGTCATATGCTCCTCGCTACTGCTGTTGTCGATGTTTTCCCTCCGTTCTATACTCTCTTCCTTACTCCTACGGGTAGTACTTATACGAACGTTGTATACTTGGGCACCCATACTTCCCTCCCCCACCCTGGTATTCCCTATGTCCACCATCTTCCACTATTCTATCTGTTGATAACTGTCACCCCTAATCAAGACGGGTTTTAAATACTCGTCCTGGGGAAAGTCCAGCTGCCGGTGAGAATGCCCTTCATCTATGGTTGTTCGTCCATTCACAGGGCAAGGTGGAAAAGTGCTTCCCCCCTTCTTGCTGCGCGAGCAAGTGTTCATTTCGCCTTTTCGCCTTCTTCCTCCCCTTCCCCATGTCACGTGCTCCTCACTACTGCTGTCCATAACACCGAGTTCCGAAGTCTCATTGCTAGATCTTCCGAATTCTCCACTACCATTGCCAAGTTCCAAAGGTGAGGATCTATCGGGATAATGTTGATAAAGGCACGAATCCTCTGTCAGCGAGCGCCTACATGCATCCGGCAACGGTGAGCTCCTCAGCTGTTCGTCGGAATAGCGCTTCCATTGATTGGGTGCCAAAGAGATGTCCCTGGCACGCTGGGGGTCAATTAAGGTCCCGTGCATCCGTTCGGGGCGGGGATCAAGTACCTCACCACAACCACAATCTTGTAAGCATCGGCCAGACTGCTTCTGGTGATTGGAGTGGTGGTTGGAATCCCACTTCCTCAATGCTTGTTGTGCTGGGTATAGATCATATTGATCTATACCCAGTCTTTGATTGAGTCTTTGTTAGAGAACCAAGCTTCTTTCAGTAGCCGGCCTCCTTTAGTGGCATCACCAGACATAATACGTGTATTCTCAAAGTCAAATTGATGGCCATGTTGTGCCATGTGCATCCATATTTGGGAATGTTGTTCGCCCCTTCTTATGGCTAACTTATGCTCATGTAAACGGGTTCTTAGCCATTTAGCTGTTTCGCCCACTTAATTGCTATCACAATTTTTACAACTAATTTTGTAGACTATCGCCGATTTATCCATGGCAGGAAGTGGGTCCTTGGGGTGCATGACTTTGGACCGCAGTGTCTGATTGGGTTTGTGGGCCACTTCTATCCCATGGGGGGCCAGTAGTCTAGCTGTTGCTTCTGAGATGTTGTTGATATAAGGTAGAGAAATGCGCGTTTTTTGTGATGGCGGTTCCTCTCTCCACCGATTGTCTCGAGGGTGTGGTGTGCTGCCATGCTGTCTAATAAATCTCATAGGATACCCATTCTGTTGGCAAATACGGAAGACGTGTTTCCTTTCTTCCTTTTTAAACTCCTCCATGCTGCAGTGGGAGTCTACGCGCTTAAACAATGCTTTAATGCAGCTAGCCTTATGGGACACTTAGAAGAGAACCAGATACCCCCGAAATAGGTAGCAGAAAGAAGGATGAAGTGGGAGTTAATACCATCAGAAGGAAGGAAGACAAAAGGGTGTTAACAAATTTGAGTATTAGCAATGAAACAGTAGGTGGGGTGATCTGGAAGAATGATAAAAAGAAACACAATGGGAGTAACAAAGAAACATCTGGAATACAAATTGACCAGCCAGGGCCGGTGACGCGGTCCAGGAGCCGGGTGCAAATGTCAGCCAAACCTATTTAAGTCATCCTTGTTAACTGGCTTTTAGCCCTGACGATGTTGGGAGTTCCCAACGAAAGCTTGGTGGTTTTAGTAAAGTATTTTTTTATACTTAAATTCTCCTTGTGGTCGTATACTATTTATTTTTATTATAAATATGCCCGGGAGTCGCATTTTTATGGACATCATTAAATATATATATGTATATATGTATGTATGTATGTATTAAAAATTAACCTAAAAATTGAGGAACGTAGTCTCCTGGGTGTATACATATTCGAAAGATAAAGACGAGCACCAGGAGATAAAACAATTAAATGTTTAATAAATAGATAACCTAGCTTTCGATGGCTGTATTGCTGCCATCATCGTCAGGGTGTTAAAAGCCAGAGGGTGGGGGAGCTCGTTTATAAGCACAAACGCGCCTGCACATGCTCATAGACCTCGTTATGGGGCCCGGTCGATTAATCCTCCCATCACTCATGTCAGATGTATTTCTGAGTTCTAAGTTCCTGCAGCTGATTACTTCTCTGTTGCGCGTGGCTCCTAAGCTGGGAGGCGAGCATTCCATGTTACTTCGCACCAGAGTAACCTGTGTAACTGCAGACCAATCCTGCGATGAAATCCCAGATCCGGCTGTCTCCCTCCCCTGTGTCCAGGGGCATGCTACCCCATCCGTGCTCCCATCTTCCCCTATAGCCCCCAACCCACTGCCCTTCCGTGCATGGGATGCACAGCAGTTCATTACGATCTTCATTCCTGTCAGTTTGGCGTCCGATTCAACTCTCCCCTTGAGGAAATTCCAACTGCGGTCTTCGCGCGTGCGCCCTCACACGTCCACCGTGCTACTCAGGAACGCGTGATGGGACCTTTAATGGGGCGATTGCAGTCATCATCCACCCCAGAGGTTCCGATCTTCAAACAGGCATCCAGGCCAGGTGCAGCAAGCGGACCATCCGGAACGCAGGCACCAAAGTCGCCGTGAGGAGAGCTGTCCTGCTTCACCTCAAGAGTGGGGGGGGAGGAGTGCTCCATACCGTTCAATAGGTCAGACGCAATATCGAGGAGGGGGAGGGGGAAGGGGAGGTGTGTTTGGAGCATCCAGGGCACCAGGGGGTGGGTGTATGTATGTATGTGTGTGTGTGTGTGTGTGTGTGTGTGTGTGTGCTACTTTCACCTCCAAAGTCATGTAGTGCCTGGCATAAATAAGAGTGATCCATCTAAACATTATTCTGATTAACACAAATAACTGATTTTAATAAAACTGCAATGCCATTTACTTTGGCTGTAGGAACCTAGAGCAAAGATGAAAATGTTTCTATATTTTATAAAACCAGTTAAAGAAAGTTCTACTTTTCCCATACCTTGCATTGGCAGAGAGTACATTCTGTACCATGCTTGATCCAGGATGATCCAGTGAATCGGACTACATTAGTTTCATCCAGACAAGTCTTGGTAATAGCATTTTTAATGGTGTCTGCTTGACAAGGATCGATGACACAATGTGGGCAACATTCATTCTCAGGGAGTATGCTGAATTCACAATCCATCTCAGGACAAGACAAAGGCCAGCAGTCAACCTCCCCCTGCTGTTAAAAAAGCAGATCAAAGGTTATGAAGTATGTTGTAATAATATGTATATATATATATATATATATATATATATATATATATATATATAATTATGGATGTAAGTATTGTATGTATGATTAAGATCATCATTATTGTTTGCTAAACCATGAAATATTGAAAGCCATCTGATTGCTGTCATGGGCTATGTGCTAAGAACAGTAACTTAAGTTATTAATGAAACTTCCAGGAAAAATAGGGAGTACATATAACTCTTTCATTGTCCTAAAAGGCACCTGTTTTGAGCTGATTTATTCCCACAGAGAATATTATATATTTGAATTAGATCAGGACTTCATAATATTTATATCTGGCTTATATCAGGCTTATATCAGGCTTCATGAAATTGGAAATCTATGTTTAGCCCAACAAAGAATAGCTACCTCCGAGGCAAATCTATTTGATATTATCTGGTTGTGATTTTCCATCACTAACAGTCCTACTGAGACCTATAGAACTTATTTTTGACTAAAAGTAAATTGTTTAGTATTCCTATCCATTGCTCATTTGTGATGTTTATGTGTTTGCAAATGCTGAAACTGAACAATGCCTAAGTTGATCTGAATTGCCCCATTATCTTGGAGAACTTTTCTCTGTGTGTTGTAAATGAACTTTAAGTCAAATATTTTCAGTATATTTTTAGTTATCTCATTTTTTTCTTGCAACCATGATTAATACCAATGCATTGCTTTGATGCCAATATTCATGTCTATCTGCTATTATGTACTTGTCACTTATCTGAAATTTTAGTCAAAATTATTTGAGAAATATAAAAGAACTATATAACTAATGTAAATTAATAAACAATAGTTAAGGTATATATAAATAATATCACTTTAATCGCGCCAGAGTTCATTTGAGAACAAAAAGTAAATAAATGAATAAATAAATAAAATAGTGGGAAGACTTACCAAACATTGGCACTGTTGACAGTTTTGAACCCATGTATCCCCACTATTGTACATGATCTCCCCACTTTGATGTAAACACTGACTACTCAGCCTTGGATCACATTCGGGACAGCAGAATAAATCAGCAGTGGGATTTTCACAGTCACAGACCATTCGTCGGCACATTACATAGCCAGTCTGCCATTGTAAAAGATAGTAAAATGTCACTTATGTTACACTATTATGACATGAAAAATAAAAAATATTTTGCAGTAGTTTGCAGCACTAAGGATTGAAGTTAAAGACTTTTAAAATCATTTGTAATTTATAATAAGGATGACCTAAAGACAATATTATTTACAACTGAAAAAAAATTAGAGTAATTATCCCAAGGTAGTCAGATAGAACATTGAGTTAGGTAGACCATTATTCCTCTTCAGTGTAAAGTCCTAGCTATGCTATAAATTATAATTATTTTCATGTTAATCAGTGAATACTAATATCTCTCATGTAGCACATCAACCACCCCACCCAAAAATTGTGTTTTCAAGTCTTTCTCATTTTTTTATTTTTTCACATTCCCAGAGGATCTCCCAACTCACTTGGCAAGAGCAAACGGAGCATCTATCATTTTCCAACACCCAGATTTGTCCATTGTGTTTGATCTTCCTTTCATGGATACAGTCCCCTGTGCAATTCTTCCCATGAGGGCATCGACAGTCATAGCCTCCATCCAAATTAAAACAGATTGTGTCATTGACACAGCTGTGCCTCCCAGTTCCACATTCATCAATATCTATAGAAAGAAGTGGAGGCATCAATCAATATCTGAAACTGGCCAATAAAAGAAATCTCAGTAATTTTCAGTTGAAAATTGTATTTTTATAAATGTTTGTATGTTAAAAAATAAAAAAAAATTCAATAAAAAAAAAGAAAGGCCTGAATTCCACACTAGCTTACAGCAAAAATCTATTTTATTGTAGTTAATTATAAGAGCAATTAAAATACACGAAAGAGCACCATATGTTTCATTTTATCTGAAGAAAGATTGTGTGGCAGGAGTTTCTGTGTTTAGTACTGTGTAGCAGAAGGCATGTTAAGGATTATGGTCTTCTATACAATGCTATATCAGGTTACATGTTATTTTACTTAAATGTTTCAAAAGGTATTGAGCTGACAAGTTAAGTAGCTAAACAAAAAAAGGGAAAAGCAAGAGGGTTTTTTCAAACATCTTTTGCAAAGCATAAGAGGCTTTAAGCATTTACATAAATGCTTGCTAGAAATGAGAAAGTGCTATGCATCAGTAAAACTCAATGTTCATATTCATTAGAAAGTATCAAAAGTATGTCTAATTTACCATTTTGAATACATTACACACATTTCATAAATATTATCCTTTTTTAATTATAAGCAACAAAATTTGTTGGCAAGAATGAAAATACATTCTCTTTAAAAATAATTAAATCTTTGTATACACACACACATTTGGGGAACAGGAAATAGCATACTGCTTATTTTAGGAAGTTGCAGGAATGTAAAGAAATCCTTTTTTAAAATCATCTATAGTGTTTCAGAAGATTGGGAGTATATCACTTAAAGGCTACAAATTTCAATAAATCAATGTTTCACTTGGTTCTATTTGTCTTGTTTTAAGACTACTGTGAAAAACAGATCGTGTTTAGCCTTATTTATGCAGAAATGTTGAAAGTTCAAAAGGGTTCACAAAGTTTTAAATACCAATGTACATTTTTTCAAAGATATGTGAAGAACCAAACTTTACTCAAACTTTAGCCAATTTTTGCTTTATGTGGCATATGTAACTATTTTCACTCCCATGCAATTTTAAAAAGCATCCATTATACAAACACTTTGCAACTTCTGCCTCCCAGCTACTTTGAATAAAATAAATGAGGAAAAATGAATAGACACAATGAAAATACTACATATGTATACAATTTCTCAAACCATTAGGAGCTGCACACACACACACAAACACACACACATTCTTTAATTTATTTTTCTTCTGTTTCTGCAAACATTCTTTTTTGATCTTGTGTTATAACTACAAATGGCTATCAAGAATATACCTAATCTTATTAATAAGAGCAAATGTATTATTACTAATTTAAAAAATGTGTACAATGACAAAGAATTGGCTCAGATGTGAAGGACAGGTTCCTTTAAGGTGGCCATGCTTTTAAAGGTGTGCTACATTAGCATTTTGTGTACATTTGCATCATAAATTCCCAGCAATGATTTAGAGTCCTACTAATACATATTTTAAATGCTTTATTTAAAAAATATTGTAATAAATCACATGTTTAAATAATGTTTTTAATACCAAGGGCATTCTTCTAAGTTTTTACTGCATAGTAAAAAACATGGGAAACATAATTTAATTTTTCACACCTACAGACCCCATCATTGGCATTTATTTATCACTATTCATTTGTTACTATTTGCCCGTAATCTTGATAAGTATTGGAATTCTTTCTTGTTCAAAATTAGTGAGGAATATATTCAGTTGCAGGCATAATCTGGATATTTTTACTTATGATAAACATTTAGTTAAGAGATAATTGTAGATTGAAGTGCTGCCAGTAAATTTAATAAAATGAATCTTAGAATGATTAGTTCTGATTAACTAGTTTTTGAAACAATTTAGCTCAGAATGTTTCTTAGCAAATTTTCAAGTTCAGCTAACAATAATTATTTGGACATTTTATTCCTAATACTATTGTTGTGTAAGAAATTTCATATTTGGTAGCAATTTTAGGAGATTGAATTGTGACATTTATTAAAGTTTGCTTGCAATTGCTGTTATTGGAGTGCTATTAGGAATGGGAACATTCACTCACATGAATTGATTTTATACCATTATTGTTAACAAGTGATTTAACGTCAGTTGCTGAATGTCAAGAATATATCCATATAGTCTTTTTTACAAAATCTCTAGGATTTAGAATTATTTTGCAAGGGGAATTGAATATTTTAAGGAATAAAGGAAGGCTAAATCAGCCTGCACTTGATTTTCAGCAGTTAATTGTTAATATCTCTTCTTTGTTAGCATTTGAATTATTATAAATTTTAGACAAAAGTTAATGATGGATATTTTTGTTCAATGCTATCAATGTGTTTTTCTTGTGAGGTGTATTTCCAGATCATTTATCCCCTTTCCTTCTTTTTTTAAAAAAATAGTTCCTCAACATTATTTTCACAAATAAACACACACATGTATTTTGTTCATTTATTTGATGTAACTTGAACTTTTTATTATTCCTTGTAAATTTTTTAAAGATTCCATTAATTTCTCAGAAAATAAGAATTTATTTCTTATTTCTCTTACACCATTTATTGATAACTTTTTTTTAAAAAAAACCAATGTGATGACCCTTTATTTCCTACAGGTTGTATTAATATTTCGTAGAACACTAGATGTTCCACTCTGTTGGCTGTTTACATCTCTTCTGGATTTTTTTTTTATTTTGTGGGCATTAAATAAATTGCCGTAGAGGTGACTGATGCTCTCTTTTCAGCAAGCTGCAATGAAAAATTGGGTGTATTTGCCTGAGATTTTTGGGTAATTCTAATTCTACTGTTACTGGATTTATGATTCTTTTAATTGGAAAAGGCCCTATATATTTTGGTCCAAGTTTTTTTACAGGGCTGTAGGGACTTTAGGTATTTTGTAGATAAGTACACCATTTCTCCTATAATGAATGGTGTAGGCTCAACCCTTTTTTTATCGGCTTGTGCTTTGTATGCCTGCCTAGCTTCATCTAGTGCTTTTCTAACTATTGGCCAGGTGTTTTGTAATTTTTCCATCCATTCTTTCAGTGAAGGGATCGTTGGTTCGTTTGGGGTTAACTCTGGCATGGGGTTGAAACTTTGACCGGTGGCTACTTGAAAAGGAGTGTAACCTGTGCTGGAGTGGACTGCATTATTGTAGGCAACTTCTGCAAAAGGGAGTAAGTCTGCCCACTCGGTTTGCTGGAAACTAAGAAAACATCTTAAATATTGCTTAAGTACGGAGTTCATTTTTTCAGCCCCCCCCATTTCCTTGTGGGTGGTGGCTAGATGTCAGTTCCTGAGTGGTTCCTAAGAGGGACAAAAATTCCTTCCAAAATGCAGACGTAAATTGCAACCCCCTGTCAGAGATGATGCGTTGGGGTGCCCCATGCAATCTGTAAATGTGCTGGATGAAAAGTTTTGCTAAGGCTTTTGCAGTGGGAATCTTTTGGCAAGGGATAAAGTGCACCTATTTGGAAAACAAGTCCGTGACGGTCCAGACAACAGTATTCCCATTGCTTTCTGGCAATTCCACTATAAAATCCATGGCTATTTCTCTCCAGGGGGCTGAGGGACTTGCCACTGTTTGCAATAGTCCTGGCAATTTCCCTTGCAACCTCTTTGCCGTGGCACATTTTGGACAACTGGCTACATAACTTTCTATGTCCTTTTTCATGGATGGCCACCAAAATTGTCGTTTAATTAAATGTAAAGTTTTTACAAATCCAAAATGCCCTGCTGATTTTGTGTCATGGCAAAGCTGCATGAAAGTGACTCTTTGAGTTGTTGGTATATATAATTTTTCCCCTACCCAAGGCAACCCGTCTTTCATTGTGCACACATTTTTGTTTTTCTGGAACCATTCATCTGTTTCCAAACTTTTTCTGAATTCAATTCCAGTTTGGCTGTCCAGTTGTGGTTTTAATTTGGCTTGGGTTCTTGTGGTTACTGGTGCTGCCAGTTGTGACTCTGCCATTATTGGTCTAGAGTCTGTGGTTCGTGCGCTGTTATATTGGGGCATGCGAGATAGAGCATCTGCCAGGAAGTTCTTTCTTCCTGGTAAATGCTTGAGCTTAAATTGGAACTGGTGAAAATGCTGGGACCAGCGGGCTTCTTTGGGATTGAGTTTCCTGGACGTTTTCAGGGCTTCCAAATTTTTGTGATCAGTCCACACCTGGAAGGGGATTTTGTTGCCTTCCAGGAATTGTCACCATGTGAGTAATGCCCAACGTATCCCATAAGCCTCCTTCTCCCATACGGGCCAGCGCTGTTCTGTTTCCGTGAGTTTCTTGGATGTATATGCACAGGGTTGCAATACTCCTTCATTGTTTTCTTGTAATAGAACAGCCCCCACTGCCACATCACTCGCCTGTATTACGAAGGGCTTGTCCATGTCTGGGTGCCTTAGTACTGGTTCGGCAGAAAAAAGTCTCTTTAGGTAAAGATAAGAATGTCATCTAAGTAAACAAGGACCCCCTTAAACAGGTGCTCCCTTAGAACAGCATTGATTAATTGCATAAAGACTGCAGGGCCCCCTTGTAATCCAAATGGCAAGACTTTGAATTGATAGCACCCCATGGGGCAGTTAAATGCAGTCTTCCATTCGTCCCCTTCCTTAATTCTCACGTGATAGTAAGCTTCCCTTAGGTCTAGTTTAGAAAAAAATTTCCCTTTCGATAGGTGTGACAGCATATCTTTCATGAGGGGCAGAGGGTATAGGTTGCTTTCACTGATTGTATTCAGGGCCCTATAATCCACGCATAAGCGTAAAGAGCCATCCTTCTTCTCTCTAAAAAGGACCGGGGCAGCCACTTTAGGCTTGGCTGGCTCAATGAAACCTCTCTCTAGATTTTTTTTTATAAATCTTTCCATTTCCTCCTTCTCCTTTGGGCTCATGGAGTATAATCTGGGCTTCGGGAGTTTTGCCCCAGGCTTGAATTCAATGGTGCAGTCTGTGGGTCGGTGGGGGGGGGGGAGCTCATTCGCCCTTTCCTCACTGAAGACTTC